GATGGACCATTTGGCCAACCTGCCCAATAGCTCGGGCTTATGCAAAATACTTCTTAGGGGAAAAGTCATGACGACCGAGACGGGGTGGCATTGGAAATATGGTCTAAACTTTTGTGAAGCTACGACTAAGGCCAGAGCTAGTTTTTTGAGGTGAGGGTATCTCATCTAGGCATCAACTATTTTTTTGCTAATGTAATAGACGGGAGACTGCGTACCTTTTTTTTCTCGGACCAAGACTGCGCTGACAGCTACTTCAGATACGGCGAGGTAGACGAAGAGACGTTCCACTGGCTCTGGTTTTGAAAGTAATGGTGGCGATGACAAATATGCTTTTAATTCCTTCAGGGCTTGGATGCACTCTGAAGTCCATTGGAGGCTGTTATCCTTCTTAAGTACGCCGAAGAACCTGTGACACCTGTCCGATGATTGTGAAATGAATCTTGAAAGTGCGGCGATATGCTCGGTTAACCTCTGTACCTATTTTTTGGTTGTTAGGTGTTCTGGTATCCCTTCAATGGCTCTGATTTGATCAGGGTTGACCTCGATCCCTCGCTGCGACACTAGGAAACCTAGAAAATTTCCTGAGGCCACGCCGAATGCACACTTTTCTGATTCAGTTTCATTCTGTACCGTCAGAGTATGTCGAAGGTTTCTTGTAGGTGGTCGATGTGATCTTCTCGTAGGTGGTTAATATGATCTTCTTTCCTTTTTGACTTGACCAGCATGTCATCTATATAGACTTCCATCATTTTGCCGAGTTGGTCTTTGAACATCCTCGTCACTAACCTTTGGTAAGTCGCCCCTGTATTTTTCAGCCCGAAGGACATGACCCTGTAGCAGTACGTCCCCTGGTGGGTGGTGAACGTGGTTTTCTCATGATTTTCTTCTTCCATGAGGATCTGATTATAGCCCAAGTAGGCATCCAAGAAGCCTAGTAGTTCATGCCCGACCGTTGCGTCGATGAGTTGGTCGATATGGGGTAATGGAAATGAATCCTTGTGGCATGCTTTGTTCAGATCTGTGAAGTCTACGCACATCCACCATTTCCCATTCTTCTTTTTCACCATGACCACGTTGGCGACCCATTGGGGTTATTTCGACTCCCTGACAGAGCCATTTTTCAATAGTTTTTCCACCTCTTCGCGTACTGCGTCATTAATTGCGGAGTTGAACTTACGCCTAACCTGCCTCACCGGGGGGTGGAATGGATCGACGTTCATTTTATGCGTGACGATTTCCTTTGGGATACCTGGCATATCTGCATGGCTAAAAGCAAACAAGTCCGCGTTAGTAGTTAAGAATTGACGAAACTTACCCGGTTCCTGAAGTTTGCAGTCGATGTAAGCTTTCTCGCTGTGATCATTTTTATCTAATTGAACGGGGTCGAGGTTTTCAATGGTCGACCCCACAGCTTCGACCGTATCAGGGTCTCTAATGATGTCCTCGCTATCATCACATATCGACCTCAACCCTGTTGATTGCTATGACTCTTTTTCTTTGTCCTTCATTTGTTGAGTGGTCGTGCAATCCAATGCGATGTAGCATTCCCGGGATGTGCGTTGTTCCTCTCATATACTGAATATTTCCCATGGAGTTGGGAATTTGATGACTTGGTACAAGCTAGAAGGGATGGCTCTCATGGTATGTATCCATGGTCGTCCTATTATGGCATTGTATGCTGTGTCTTGGTCCATGATATGGAACGTGGTTTCCAGAGTGACGCCGGCGGCCAAGACGGGGAGTGTGATTTCGCCAGATGTTCGCTCAACTGCATTGTTAAAACCTGTTAGTATGATGCAACACGGGACTATCTTATCTTCGAGTTTCATTTGTGCAAGTACTCGAGGGTGGATAATGCACGCACCGCTCCCATCGTCCACCATAATGCGTCTCACATCGGCATCTAAAATTCGCATAGTGATAACAAGGGCATCATAGTGAGGGAAAACCAAACTGTTGGTATCTGACTTATCGAAGATGATACTTTCTTCGAGTTCATCATACCGTTCGTGGGTGATCGACCGTTTGAGCTTGTGGGTTATGGTAAACTTCACACTGTTGATGGAATCATCGTCGCCACTGCCGATGATAATGTGGATAGTGCGGGTTGGCGAAGGCGGTTTCAGTGTTCCTTGATGTTGTTCACGTCCTTTGGCAAAATTGGTCCTTTCCCGATCCCTCAGCAACTCTTTGAGGTGTCCCTGTCGTAGCATGTTTACGACCTCCTATCTTAGGGCGATGCAATCCTCGGTTTTGTTTCCTCTCTCCTGGTGGAACTTGCAAAGGGCGTTCGATTTTCTGGTACTCGAGTCTTACCTCATCTTCTGTGGCCACTTCACCTTTGGTCCGAGCTTCTCCAAGGCGTAGACTATTTCTGTAGGTGACACACAAAAATTGTGAGCGGATAATAAATGGGGCATACCCATTTCGTTCCAGTGAGTCCCTATCCTTGATCTAGGTGGGCCCTCTTTGTGGTGGGAGGAGGACGCAATGGCGGTTCTGACATATGGTAGATGTCGTTCCTTGTTGGGTCGCGGAGCTGCGAGGTCCCTTCTGATATTATTTCTTCGATCTTTTCTGGATTCTGCTTGTACCGAGGTCAGTCGATAGGTCGGCCCATTGAAGTCGTCCTCGTCTGATGGAAAAGTGTGGAATAATATAAGCAAGAATCTTGATAAAAATGTAGTCTTCGTATCTTTACAAGAGAGAGTGAGAGAGAGAGAGTGAGAGAGAATCTTTTAGCAAAGTCTGCTCTTATCACAATGAATATAATATGTCTCTATTCCTTATCTTTTTTCCTATTTATATGGGACATACCCCCAACAAACCCTAATAGTACAAGTGCAGAGAATATCCAATGGAATATTCTCTTTAATATCCTATTCTAACAAACTAGCCGTTACAGCTCTTTCTGCGGTGCTCGACCTCGACCATCGTTTGCATCTCGACCACGAGCCTCGCTATTTCCTGGTCGACCTCGACTGACTCTTTTCTCGATGTTACTTTACCCTAAGTATTGAGACAGATTTCAACCTATACAGTTAGTCCCTCCGCTTATTAAGGCCGACCTCATATGACCTTGATGAGCGGATTCTGTTTATTGTGGTTGGCAAAATTGGACGAGCGAGTCGAGTAGTGACGTTTCAGACGAGATGACAATGTGACCTTTCGTGAGCCGCAACTTTCGGAGTCATTTCGTTCCTACTTCAGAATGACGTCATGCATCATTATAGCGCATTTTTTCGATGTTTTGCATCGTTTCCCGTGCATCTGTCGTTTCGGTACCGGTGCTGGGTAATAATGGCTTGATTTCTTGGTTTTGATGCTTGAATTCTTATAAATAGGTAAATGAGGGCATTCATTCGTGTTTTGCGAATTCTTCATATCGAATCCTTGTGTCTTCTTCTCCTTACTTCATTATTGTGTGTCTACTTTCCTGGTTCCGGTGATTCTAGTTGCTTTCAACCCCTCTTCACTTGAATATCCTCTCTTTTGTTGGAACTATGGCCAACGTGTTTTCTGGTCCTGGTGAGGGAAGTAAACCGGTCCCTTTGGTGGTGATTATGCCTCCTCATGCTATGGTCATTTCCGTTGCCATTGAGGATGAGAACTTTCCAACGATGGAGGAGATATTTCCTCGTGGTGAGAAAGTTAGGTCTGACTTCTCGAAAGCGCCTGAAGATGAGCCCGAGGTTTCTGAGTCGGCGATGAAAGAGGCCAATCTAACAGAGCTTAGGGTTAAATTCGACATTCCCGCTCACGTTGATTTGGTTCCTGCAGAGCGGGATGTGGTGCAAACCCACCGTCCCGGGTTGTGCGTTCTATGCTTACCCTTTTCATGTTGGCTACTCTCTTCCCCTTCTGCATTTGGCGGAGGAGTTCTGCTATTACTATGGCGTTTGCTTGGCTCAGCTTTCTCCATATATCTACAAGCTTATTAGGATGCTTACTAAATATGCGAAACTGACCGGGGTCGAGGTCACGCATCTTATTTAGTTTAATCATGTTTGCCTGTTTGGCCTAGATCGTTTTGGTAGATGTTTGTAGAGAGGACCTAAGGAAGTCCAATTACCATACCAGAAAGTTGTATTGCCTTTTCCCACATGCTATCGAATTTTTTGTTCCATATCATTCTTCATATCACAGATAGCCTTCCATACATGAGACTGCCCATTGTACCACCTCTTTATCACTGGATAAGATAGATTGTCTCCACAAGAATTCTTGAGTTTTAAACCTCACCGTAGTCTGGAGGTAAAAGCTATTATTTGTATCTTCAAAAGATCAAAAGATTAAATATTCACAAAAGATTTCATATAATGGTTTGCGGTAATAGAATAGCAAAATGTTATAGGAACATCTCACTGTGGTTCAAGAATACACTATGAACACAAGACTAAGAAGAATAGTTGAAAGTCGGTAACTCACTACCATGTAAGAACTTATGAACAACTGCCAATTGATTATGAGTTTGTTGTTGATTGGTCTCCACAAATTGCTGAGGTTTTACAAGTTTCTCAACACGCTGTTGGGACATATTATTGCTAAAGCCACCAAATTCACATGACTAGTTGGATGTCTAGACTCTGGACATTGCAAAAACAGTGGAAGGGTAAACTCTACCACCTAAATCTGCTGCTTCGCTCCATATACTTTTTTAATTGTGTCATTTGGATAAATATTTGATAATTTTATTTATTAAAATCTTAGTTTAGCAGCATCTAATTGATAATCTTTTGGTGCTAGAAAAATTTAACATTGCAGCATAACTACACCAATAAAAGAGCATCTTCTATGCAGGCAGAAATCTCATGCTAACATATGTGCAAATATTTTAGAAAAAGAGACATTGAAATGGCTTATTTCCTCAAGTCTTATGTCAAATGACATACTCATAATATTAAAAATAGAGTCATAAGCACTATCGATGTAATAATATCATAGATTTTAAAAAGAACTAAAATAACCAAACAAGCAAGGCTCTCAAGATGTTGGTAATTTCATGCCATAGTTGTAGTATCATCAGATCCATTTAGTAATGGATTTACCACAGCTCCAGTGAAAAGTACCGACCTTGTAATCTCTTCTCTAATCATGAACAAGAAGGGATGATCAGCTTCGAATTTTTTTGGAGGACTTTGATACAAACAACATCCCAAATCATCTTCTGACTCAAAAGTAACAGCAGCTGCCTCGGTACATTTCTCATCAATTTCTAAAAATGCTTTCTGTATTATCATGGACACATATAAAGAAATATTTTTATTTTCCACAACCTCTGTTAGGTCCTTGCAAGTCTTCTCGAAAGGTAGTGTCATTCCCATTTCCTGCATTGCTTTTTCCCCTTCTTCTGTGGTGAATGAGAATTTGAACTTTGGGATGCAAAATGCATCAAGAGTTTCTTTCCATAGCTCGAAATCTTGTGTAAAGAAGTTTGAATCAGAGTTCACTTTCTTCAATAAGCTTGGCAATCCGTCCCTTTATTTAGGAAGAAAGAAGTACATGGAGAAGTCTTTTTTATCATCTTTTCCTTTTTCATAAGAAATTTTCACTGCTTGATAACTTTCAAATGATCCATATAAATAATTATGACAACCAGTCATGAAAGGAACTGAAACCTTGTCTCCGTTGAGTAGGTAAAAATCTTTGTTCTGAGTGAGCCTTTCAATAAAATTNGGGATGCAAAATGCATCAAGAGTTTCTTTCCATAGCTCGAAATCTTGTGTAAAGAAGTTTGAATCAGAGTTCACTTTCTTCAATAAGCTTGGCAATCCGTCCCTTTATTTAGGAAGAAAGAAGCACATGGAGAAGTCTTTTTTATCATCTTTTCCTTTTTCATAAGGAATTTTCACTGCTTGATAACTTTCAAATGATCCATATAAATAATTATGACAACCAGTCATGAA